CGGGCGGAGTCGTATGCTTCTGTCTTACTCAGGTGACTGTATACTCGCTTTCTGCTCGCGACGTGTTGCTGAGCCGCATGTGGGCCGAAATTCACAAGGTGACTATGTGTAGCGATGTTCAGAGAGCAGCGGCACGAGACATGGGGAGCGTTAGCAGATGCCTGTGCCTGGACGAAGCCTCTTGGCGGATGATGTACTGCGCATCCACAGGGCTGAGTCTTCCCGAACTCCGGCCACCTTCCGGCGAACGTGAAGATCGTACTAAAATCACCGAAGCGACAAAGTGAAGTCATTTGAGAATTGCATTTTCATCTTTTGCTAACCGAGCAACACTGTTCATGCATTCATTGCAGCCTCGAAGCCGCCATTAGCCATCAAACACTCTGTACCATCCCCGTTCAATACTCGAAGTCATCGTCCACACTAGGGCCCTGATTCTTGCCGACACTCTCCTGCTTCCTGTACATTTCTGCAACTTGCTTACTGCTCGTGGCCTCATCTGGCTTCTTGTCATCACGCACTCGAATGAATCGTGGGAAGCGCAGAGAAACACCCTTGTGTGTGCCATCGCTGCCGAACTCGCTCGATGCTGCACGATATTTGGGAGAAAGCGTGAGATCAGCAGTCTTGACCTCCCAGACATATTTTGGTTCGAACCAGACATCCGGCTGATCATTCTTGCCCGTGCTATGGTCATAGAATGGCTTGGCCCGGTCGATTGCCAATGGCGAGAGCGTGTCGTACAGCTCAGCGAGAAGGGCTTCGCTGAAGCCCGTGCCGATGTTGCACACCGTCTCATACTGCTCCTTGTGGTCGTTGTAGCACGCGAGCTGGAAAGCCCCATACCAGTTCGTTCTCTTGCCTTTGCCGTAGTATGCACCGAGCACGACAAGATCAAGAGAATCACCGGCACCGGCAAGGTAGTCCTTCTTCACCTTGAGCCAATTCTGTGATCGACGAGATGGCTCGTAGTGGGACTCTATACCATCCAGCATCTTCACCATGAGACCTTCGCACGATGCTTTGATAGAATCCTCGAGCAAAGTTTGAATCTCCTCGACTTCCTTGGAGTTGCCAAACTTTGCGAAGGCAAACTCGCCTTCGATCTCTTCGAAAGCGCCATACATGGCTTCACGTCGCTCTCGGAAAGGTTTGTTGACCATGGCTTGTCCGTCCAGGTACAAAATGTCGAATGCAAAGACGCAGACCTTGACCTTGATGTCTTCTGTCTTCACGTCCTTCTTTTTCCGCGTCATCAGCTGCTGGAATGGCAAGACGTGCTTCTTCTCAACGTCCCACGCGACAGTTTCGCAGTCAAGTACAAAAGATTTGGTTCCCTTCTTCACCCAGTTTGGTAGCTTCTCAAGGATATCCGGATACTTCTTACTGAGGTCTTCGCTGTTCCGAGAAAAGATGTTGGAAATGCCTCGATCACTCTTGCCAGCAGCAGGAGCGACAGTTGCGGCAAATTCCTCGTCGGCTTCGTGCGCAACGTAGTGTATCTGAGCGCGCTCGCCATCGTACTTGTATTCACAAGTGAAGTCCTTGCCCTCGAAGCGATCAAGCACTTCTCCAATTGACTTTGTAGGTTTGGCCAACATGGGCTTCAGCGGCACGCCGGGTCGTAGCTTGACAGCCTCACGCAGTTTCCAGATGCCATTCTCCAGTAGGGCGGGAATGATGACCTCGTAGGCTGGAAGCTCGTTGTATACAGCCTTGAAGATCTCTTCACCCTTCTTGAGTTGCTCTTCGGTCGGCACTTTCTTGCCGTCTTTCGACACGGAATGTGCTACCATCGCGTGAGCCACGGCAACTTGCAAGTTTTTGTCCGCCAACCCAAGTCTCATCTTGCCCTCGAGAGCACGGATGATGAACTTGCTCTCACTTGGACCGCCTTTGTCCTTGTTGATGTCGATAGTCGACCCCTTGGCCATGTTGATATCCGCGGATGACAACAGCTTCTTGATGCCGTCTACCTTGCGGCCTTGAGCACCTTGTCCTTCGACAGTGGCGATCTTCATTAGGCCCTCATGCACGGCACGCACTGTCAGTGGCTTCGGTTTGAACATCATCGGCTGGCCGCCTCTGCTCTTCGCTGCCACGAGTCCCAGATCTCCCACCTTTTGCTGATCTTCCTTGACTATCTTCAGACTTCGACCAGTACTCTCACCAATGGCTTTCATGATGAGAGATTCGCCGATGCCCAACTCAATGCCGGCATAGTCAGCAGCTAGCTTGCCCACCATGAGTAACACGACAGGTAGTAGATCGTCTGGTGTCAGTCGCAGCACTTGGCGGAGGAATCGAGCACAATGCGCCAGAATCTCAAGACGCTTGGTCGTCATCTCGATCTTCGAAAATGTCGTGCAAAGCGCAGCGTAGGGCACAGGATCACCAGCTTTCCAGTCCGGATACGGGTCTTTTGTGTCTGATTTGAGTGTGCTTTGCACGGCCTTTGCAGCTTTCGCTGGCTTGACTTCCACCTCTACCTCTTCCGCTGCAGAGTGTGCCGATTCGTCTTCTGCTGATGAGCTTGCCGCCTCAATGGGCTCATCCTCAGCCTCTTCCTCGTGTTTTAATTCGACCTTCTTTGATTTGCCAGCGGCTTTGGCTGTTGGTGCCTCCTTCTTGACGGCAGTCTTCGTCGCTACGCCCTTTTTCGTACCATTTGATGCGGGCTTCGAACGAGCCTTCTTGGTCGGTGGCTCTTCATCGTCTACATCGTCCTCCATCTCTACGTCGTGGCTGGCCCGTCGCTTCTTGGAGGAGCTCGAGGGTGAGTGCTCTAGCTTGACAGCGGCTTGCTCGTCTTCCTCATGCTTCTCGCTCTTCACATCCTCCTGGTCTTGCATCTCAACATCCTCCTTCTTCACGCTACCAGCTGTGCTGGCTGGAGGGGTTGCACTCGCATCCTCAGCTGGCTCCTTCTTAGGCGTAGCTTTAGTGCCAAAGGCCAATTTCGATTGTTGAGGTATTGGCTTTTGCCCATTCGGATTGCCAAAGAATTTGCTAATTCAATGTCAGCGAGCACATAGCTGGAAGGCGTTACCATACGGACCCGAGAGTCTGCTGGCTCACGACATACCCAAGCTTCGCCTGCTTCGGCGGCATGCTGGCAACCCGATGTGAAAATTGTTGGAACGATCTTGTCGCAAGCGTAACTTGTCTCAATGGTCGCCAGCAGTATCTCATCAGCAGGCACGGAAATATGAGATGGGAGTCGAAGTTCGAGAGTTAGGCGTGTGGCGGACGACGCGTCGCGACACTTTGGCGATCAGGCAGACATGGGGGAGCACCAAGGCTGACATCACCACCGAAGTCGAGCTCCATCGTCCGGTTCGGACTTTGTACGCATCAACCACTGCACTGCACAGAGAGGCAAAACTGGCGTCGCTATTTTGGAAACCACCATCTCTCCCACCAACCCCTCCACCTCCGCCGTCAAGGCCTACTACAATCATGTCGCAGACTCCCACCCAACCCAGACTCACGCCACAATTCTGCTTCAACCAAACCGCACTCCGAGGTGAGGCACATCTTCATAACTTGAAGCCGTCATCAAAAGCTCACGCTCATGCCCAAGTGCCACCCTAGACTTCCTCCGCGTATCTCGATCCGCAGTAGACGATACCATCAACCAAAATCTCAATGCACTAGCAACGCCCGCCGCGAGACCATTCGATCCTGCATCAACGACAGAAAGACAGCCTCGACCAATTGGGAAACGAGCATTAGACCCAGAAGCATGCCAGACATTCAAGGATAAAGTCCTGTTGCCGTAAGGCTCAACGATATGATTCGAACTGTGCAGCTCAACAGACACTAATATATCGACACCAGATCATGGCAATCCCGCTCCGACGTCCTAAACTACTGTGCAGGCGTAGCTACATCACCCGATCCCAATGATCCCGACCACATCCTACGAGAAACCGAAGACGCGCGAGCGCGTGAAAGAATCATCGATGAACGTCTGGATCCATACAGCGCAAGATACTTCCCGCAGAACACCAGGACAGAATCGCTCGCGTCTTTGATCAGAAACGAGAGAATGGTTGAGAACATTATTCGTGCTCGGACGTGGGGTCTTGTAGGAGAAAGATGTGACAATGAGACGACAGATGCAGATAAGGCGCTCAACGCATGGCGAAGGAGAACAGCCACGTCGATGGTGGAGCAGGAGCGATAGCATGAATTGAAGAATTTGCAAGTTCACCACTCATCAAATTATCAAATCTGCTCTCTCATCTTTCGCATCAAGCATTTCAATACACGACGACGATTGACGATCCGTTTCATGAACTGCACTTCGAATCCCGATCTCAAACCACGATCGAAGCGCCAAAGTGCGCTTTGCCTTGGATCCTGATAGTCCACCCACTCCCATGTTTTGTCCACCATTCCCTTTTTGCGCCGCGAGGCCATGCAACTACATCTAGCTACATAATCAATATCCACACACAAGGTACAAGTCAGATCTTTTCCCCCTCGACAGATCTCTTCTCTGCACACAAATGTGTCCAAACACCAGCCGGAAAGTCCTAATTGATCCAGCGCCAAACAGGGTTCCCAAATTGCAAAGTTGCCTCCGATTCCGTTAGAACTTAAATGCCACAGAAGGGTATATATTTCAATATCATCGCTCATCAGTGTCGTGTTGTTATGTAGGTATTCGCGAGGTGTTTGTGACAGTTCACCCGCTCGTTGTTGAAGGTCGGTATCCAATCGTGCTTCGTTTGTCATTGACGCATTATCGCTGAAAGAATGACTTGAATTTTGCCGATGGTCCGACGTTGGCGTTTGCAGGAGGCTCGACCTGCGTGCTGCGTTCATAAAGTTCCTGTACAGATGTCAGTATTTGTGAGCCCGCAATTTTTTGCCCATGCTAGACCTACGTCTTCATCTTTCAGGAGCTTGACATCGAGCACGAGCTCCTTGATTTGCTGATTCCCTTGTAGTCCTCCCAGGTTCTTGTAGGGCATGCCTTGTGCTCGTTGCAAGCTGACAATGACATCGCCCATGATTTCAAACTTCTTCCAATTGATGCGACCGTCGTCGCCAAGGAAGGTCTTATTACCTTCCTCTGCTGTAGCCAGATCGCGTCGATGTAATGGTAAATAGGGAATCCGTTCTCCCGAGCTATTCTCCCACGCAAGTCGGTATGCGAAATGTGATCGTGACGGCGCCATCAGGATCTCAAGTTTCAGCCAGTCCTTGCCCACGGTGGGCTGCACCAGTTCACGTGTCGCTGCCAGCCTGTGCACTGATGTCGACTTGACGCCAGCAATAACGGCACCCAACGCGTTGTAGTTGTTGAGCTCTCTCAGTTTACGTGCTATTCGCATAAACTTCTCCAGCATCAACACCCGGTGCTTAGGCTTATCGTGCAACAGGACGTAGTTCGCTACCCAGCATGCGATCTGATTGAAGTGCTCGACCATTCGCTCAACATGAGCCAAGTTACGGCAAGATTGTTTTTGTTCTTTGGAGAGCGAAACGTGACGTACCAGATCGCGTGGCCGTATCGACGAGAACATGATCCAGTCTATTCTCGTAAGCTCACGCGCGATCAGCTCATCAGGTTGGTCCAGAAGAGCCCGCCATTGAATCTTGGTCAGTGTATTGCGTTGTATTGGTTGCAATTCTCGCGCATGTCTTTGCGCTTGCTCAACATATGCAATCATCTGATTGGAGATCTTTGGTCCAGTGTAGATGTCGGAATCGCAGCTCAGCGTTGTGCCGCTAAGCTCTGTATCGAATGTGAAGATCGGGTCGTCAATTAGTGTGCTTGCAGTCGAGGCCATTGAGCTTCGAGAATGGTCGCCTGCAGCTTCTCTGTCCTTGTCGTTGACAGCCCAATTGGTATCGTCGTCCTCGTTGACAGATTCCAGTGCCACAGTAATTTCCTTCGCAGCAGCGGTGAAGATTCGTGTGTCAGAGATCTTGTGTGCAAAGGTTTGCAGGCGACGCCGTGTCCGAGAGAAAGCGAAATCACCTGGATATGAGGTCACCCATTTCTCGATGACAGCAAGATATCGAAGCTGTGTGGTCGACTTCATCATCATGGGCGCACCTGTCTGCTCTAATGTGTCGAAGCGCTGTACAATAGCTTCCAACAGCTTTCCAGGAGCTGCGAACTTGCGATACAGAGCCAGGAAGATTGACGCAAATTTCATATCAGCCCGCGAGGTAGGCTGATCTAGTAGTCGATCGACCAGCTCATCGAAAGTCGCGCCATTTTCAGCCAGCGCTGAGGTGGGAGAGGCCCCAGGCACTACTGATTGAACATCTGTGCTGATGGACGATCGTGATGAGGTTGCGGAGGGCTCGCTTGCCGACTCCTCGTTGAAAAATGTGCCGTTCATCTGTTCTTCGTCCCAAGGCACACGAAGACGCTCGCCAGCAGAATATGCAGGAAAGCTGGAGTCCACACGATTGTGGTTTGGATCTTTCTTGACAGTATGTTCAGAGCTGGCTCGTGAATGTCCGGTAAGAGAGGGACGGGGAGAGGCTGGAGTGAGTGAGTTACTCTGTGCTCTACGCCGGAGAGACGTTGCTCTTTTCAGCGCCGAGGGTTGTTCTGCAGAAGTCAGCGCATGAGTATACGACACGCCTACATGTTCACACATACCTGTTGGCGTTGCGTGGACAATGGCATTCATGAGCATCGATATACCACGCTTGTATCCGTCTGGGTTAAGCTCTGAGACCTGCAAGGTAGCAATGTTCTTGTTGATCCGCCTTGTGTTCTGCTCCACAACGCTGGGCTCGACTTTTCGTTCGCTCGTAGGGATGTCGCACTTGGTTGCAACAAGCACAGTTGGCAATGATGACTTGGTGACGGCCTCTGTGTGAAGAAGTCGCCGGTCAGCAAGCGTCCCTCGTACATGGCTGACGGCCCCCACTCACTGAGTATATCTCGCAGATCTCGAATGCTACTAGCTTCCTCGCAGCTGTACAGGGCTAATGCACCATTGACCTGGGGCATTACCCTATCCTCAATGTAGTCTGGCCAATCGATCGTTCCATCGTTGTTTGTGTCAATCTCGTTGAGGTCCAGCTCCAGCAGACGTAGGAGGTACGGGCGACCTTCGAAGGGGAAACGACGCTCAGCGGCTTGCGATCGGGGTAGGCTGTTGAGGTCGAGGGCTGCCTTAATGAAGGTGGATTTGCCGACGTCTCCAGCAGAGATCACAGCAATGTTGATCTCAGGCGGCTGGGGTTCCGACTGCTGTGTGGTCGCACAAAGCTCAGGTTAGCGTGGTCCTCTTCTTGTGCTGCGAGTCTGTAGAAAGGTCGTGGCAGTGCTGAAGCGAACAGAGCACCAGCAGCTGCCGCAGCACGCTGGCGCGTCGCAGTACTCGCACGCACGTCCCACGGCAGAGGAGAGAGCGGAGGCGGAGGGAGAGCACACGGGGGTGTCGTTGCAGGTGGAATTCACAAACATACCTCCACTTCGGGGCGTTGGAAGCGGTGATAGATGCGGACAGCGCCTATCGCTCCGGCCAGCTCATCGTCGTCGCGCGCAGCGTACCCGTCGTGGTGGTTGTTGTGGGCGAGGGATGCTCCCGTACTACTCAAGACAACCCGTTCGGCTGCACGCAAGGACTCATCTAGAAGAGCAGGGGTTGAGTGCGTCCTCTTAGCGTGTGTGAGCGAGGGCCTCCGCAGACCAACAGATCGATCCTCTCCGCCGCCGATGCCGACCTGGCTGTTACTGATCCCGCTGCTGCTGCTGTGTTCCTGACGCAGGCGACTGTTGCTCCGGGCGCCACGTTGTTGCGGCGTCCGCTGGCCGTGCGCCTTGCTGGTCCTGGTCGACCCCTGCTCGCCGCGCT